TTCCGCGCGACCGATTGCGACTTGACGAATGACGAGTCGTCTTCGAGACCGGTTGCGACCGCTGGAGTTGCAAGTTCAGATCGCGGCGTAGCTCTCTCGGAGCCGTCGTCAATCGTTGACAACATGAGGCCTTGTTCTTTTCGGCTCGAACTTCTACGCTTGAAGGAAAAAGAAGGAAAACTGACCAGTGCAAGAGACAGCATTCGAAAACATTACCCCCGAGTGCCTCCGATTATTATTTTATCCTATGATTTAACAACGAGGATAAAATGATGTACTAGTATTTTGTCGCTCGAGGGGTTCAGCTAAAAGAAACACAAACGTTGTTAGGCGCGATTTTACCAGAACGCATTGGCGAGCAGCACTTCTTGCGGCTTCACCCACATCTCGATCGCCGTGCACACCGCGCGAGGTACATATGGTACTGACACTGAAACGACGACGATGACAACAACGACGAAGACGACGTCACACACGCACAAGCAATCCTCTTCGAGGAACTGCCGCGAAAACGCCGACGATGGAGCGAGGGGGGAGGAGGAGGGGGAGGGAGAATTAAAGCAATATACTCGCGACAGATAAACACCATCCACGGCGGCGAAACGATCAGCTGCGACTCTTCGTAAAGAACGCACGCTCGTCACGCCACGCGGAACGAATGTCACTAAAGTGGAGAGATATCATTACTGGCGATCGATATTGCAATTTCTGCACTCTGACTGTATACTCGACATATCTCAACGACGACCAACGACGATCCGAGTTCGCCTGAATTTTTTAGGACGAGAGACTTTACTTAAGAGTGATTTTGACTATTGACACGATAGGGGTACGAATTAATTTGGAAAGATTAGAGGATAATAATAATCTACTGTTTTTACATATGAAAACGCAAGTGGAAATGTTTATCACAATTACATATTTTTAAGGAAATAATCGCATATCATACGATTTTAACTTGCTAATAGTTAGTCCGTAGTGTGTGTAGTATAATTCTGAATATTTCTGACAGATTTTATTTAATTCTAGCAATTTTGATTGATTATTAACACAATAGGGATATGAGTAATTTGATAAGGTTAGAAAGTAATAATAAATCAGTTTTTTTTATATATGAAAACGTTTATATCTTATTTCATACTTCATATTTTCAGGAGGTATCGACTGCATATCGTGTGGTTCTAAGTTGCTAGTAGTTAATCTATGTGAACATCTCTAATAGATTTAATTTAATTCTAATGGAAATCTCTAATTGTTGAAGAGATCAAGTGCTGAACAGGGAAACAAAAGTCATAAAGTAATGCTTTCGAGACTTCCATAGATACTTTGTATACAGAAGCTATGTATTTTGCAAATTAGCTCCATGTCTGGATCTATTATATAATACCAATGTTTCATTAACATTGAAGTTTATATCATTAGGACAAGGAAACGATCTTATATTGTGACTTTGTTTTTCTTCTGTGGATTGAGATTTTGAATTGTAGTACTCAGAAACATAGTTCGTAGCCTGTATAATACATGATTAATGATACCAATAACATTAGGAGCAATATAAAGTTGGATAAGGCATTTAAAAATCTACAATGCAAAAGTAGCAGAAAACTTGTAGAAAATTCATAATCTTGATTATAATTTTATGAATTTACATTGTCCTGGTTTGATTGATCTGCTCTTCTGAAGAATTACCTTTGTATATACTTTTAAGAATAGGAAGAAAAGAGGATGAAGACAGAGGTTGACATTCATTGAATCTAGACACAGAGATAACTTGCAAAATGCATAGCTACTGTATAAAAGATAAATTTAATACTGAAAGCATATTAATGTTGACTTATTTTGACAGAATGGAATGTTTGGAAAGAGTTAATCATCCAGGATCATGGGTGAAGGAAAAATATCAAGAGGTTCAGCAATTATTGGAACGCGAGGCAAAGTGCGATCCAAATAAGCTTTATGAGAAAAAGTCTAAAGCTGTGGAGATTTTAATGGAGATTCTGGAAGCGCTTACGCACTGCAAAGAAACTCTCTGCACCGTGGCAGCTGCGATAACTTATTTGAACATAGGTATATTACGAGCTGACATGGAAGATACAGGATTTGCTACAGAATGTTATAAAAAATGTATTGACTTGTTGGAAGACAGCAAATTGACGTCTGAAGGCATTTTACCAGCTATAAGCGGTAATAATCAATTGGGTCTAATTTATGCGCAACGAGGTTCATATGAGGAAGCTAAAGACTTTCTAAAGCAAGCGGAAGACTTATATATTAAGTTTACAGAAGATATTAGACTCGATCCTGTTCATATGGTGTCCATTATGGGTATTGAGGAGATAGAAGGAAATCTGTGCGCAAAAAGTATTCTCGAGAAGCTTCACACATTGACTTTGTATTATTTAGCACAGGTCTGTCGCGAGTTAGATGACAAGTGTAATTTTGCTCTGTATTGTCACAGAACATTGAGCAAGCAATTGAGTCAAAATAAAATAACGCAAGATCTGGATTATGTCGATTGGGCTTTAAATGCCGCAGCAATATCTCAATATTTCATAGAACAAGACAAATTTCCACAAGCGAGGCATCATCTAGCTGCAGCGTCTTGTATATTGGAAAAATACTCTGAAATCTTAAGGGCAAAAGGCACTAGAGAAACCAGCGAGATCATTGCTGCGCAATACGAAAATTACGATCATGGATCAGCAAATATCGCTAGATGTTGGGCGAAGTACGGTATTGCTCTTTTGGGAGCATCTAAAGAGAGATTAATGAAAAAGGCCGAGGAAGAGGATCAAGATTCAAAGCCTGCGAAAGTTGCTGATAAAGTTTATAAATATTCTCATACTGAAACTATGGAAGATCCAAGATTTTTAGATCTAGAACCAGAATTAGAATCGATTACCAATGAAGTTACAGATATGTATTTATTGGATTTTAACGATGCTAGACCGGTGTTCTTGAACGTTCGAAAATGGTTGGATAAGGCGAAGGAATATTACACTTTCGAGAATCACGCGTCGGATTATGCCTGGATTGTCCAAGACCTCTCTCAAGCGTACAAATACTTGGCGTTCTTCGAAGACAACGAAGACAGGCAGGCGAGAATGCACAAACGGCGGATAGACATTCTGGAGGAAGTAATTGAGGGATTGTGTTCGCGGTTTTACCGAATCGTCTGTAGGGAAATTTGGATCGAGCTCGCGGAAACGTATTCGGAGATCCTGGACTTGAAGATTGATCGTTTGCAAGCATCCAACGAAAGGCCGACGGCGCATGTGATAGCGAAGATTGAGCGCCTGGCGAGAAGCAGCATAAAGCACTATCAGTCGTACTTGAATTCTTTAGAGATGAGCAAATCCGAAAACGGAATCGAGTCCTTCTCGGACGACTTGCTATATCCAGCGTTGTATACTTACTTCCATGTGGGAAGATTGTATAATAAGATTATAACTTCCGACGTACAACAAAAGATAGAAAACATGCAGAATAGCGTTGATGCTTACAGTTTTGTCGTTAATTATTACGATAAGCATCCTGAAAAGCAGAAGAAGTTAGAAAAATACGAATTTATAAAATTGTCTAAAGAATTTGTCACATTGCTGCCGCTTACAATAGATAGATTAAAAAAGCAACAGATAAATCAATAATGCTATTTCTCTCTCTTTTTCATTTCCGTGACAACGTTGAATGATATTTTGTTGTATTTTTCTTTCTGTGCAGCAGACGATGGTTTTTGTACGAGGGAATACAGAAATCTACATCTGCAAAGCATATATTTATGTACCGCGTGTATTTAAAATTAATGCTTTTTTATGTATGTTTGCGATCAGCTCATTCCTTATATTTGTACACTTATATTTGTATATATATATATATTTATATATATAATCATACATTATACATTATATATTGCCATACATTAAAAATATATTTAAGAAAAAGTAGTTATACTTTATTGTGTACTAATATTTTTCCTTTATTAAAAAAAAAGTAAACAGTTCTATACAAAATAATATCAAATAATATCAAATAACGCTTATCGATTGAAATAATCGGAATTCGAAGTTATTTCGATTTATTAATAAAAACTGTTATAAATAATATAAGTAAAACATAGAAATAATAGACTTTTTAATGATCTGTTATATATGGCGCATTAAAGAATTGGTACGTTTAAAAAGTGTGCATCATTTACAAGTTTAATTTTTAATGAATTCTGTAATAAATATTCTGTAATTAATTATAAAATTATACATAATTATAAAATATGTGTGTGTGTGTGTTTTATAATTTTTATATAAATTAAATTTTATAAATAAGAGAGTAATGTATTCATGTACTGAGTATCCCTAACAGATCTAAATCCTAATATGAAATCTCTTTATTATTAAAAAGTATTGTTTGTAAAAATCTGCAATCCCCCGATGTGTTTGAATTTCTCGCTGCATGCGACTAAAGTTTTTTAGGAACTCTACACGCGAGTCTCAAACGAAGACCAATTAACTGCGGTTAGAAAGTGTTCAGCTCGTTGCAGCACGCTGGTTGGATAATTACAACAAAGACAAACGTGACAACTTGACGAGAGGATTCAAATTTCAATAAATGTAAACTGTACGGTCAGTTTAAATGAAACGAGAACAAACTTAAGTATTTACTTTGTAATTATATATAATTATAATTTTTAAATTGCTGCCTTATACCAAGTGTCTCAATTTAAAAGAGAATAACTACAGAATAAAGTTAGCTATAACACATTATATTTTCTTTTTGCTATTATATTTTTATATATATTTATATATATTTATATATATTTTTTATATTATTTATATATATTTTAATATTATTTGTACGTGAACATATAAATCCAGCATCTTATGCGTGCAGATAAAACAAAAATTGGACAAAAAATATTATTTTGGTCCATCGTTACCAGTCGCCGCTTCGACTGATAAGATTGATAAGGTCGCTGTACGAAAGTAGATGTCAGCACGCGCGGCGAATATTCCTCGTAATCCGCGCCGCGGATCGTCCGGAGCGGTGAGTCAGGAACAAGAAGAGCTTCGTCAAGTCTCGTATCAGGAATACGGATCAGAGTTCTCGTCGGTGTTGTTCCTCGTTCATTCATCGTGAGTGAAAATGGCGTCCTTGGCGGGTGTTCGGCTGTTGGCGAGGAACACCGGTTACTTCAGAAACTCATTCAGTCGGTTGCGATGCACGAGTAGTGCACTCGTTCAGATGCGATGTGAGCAGAGGTTGTTGCATCGTGCCGCGTGGACAACGCTTGTCGTACCGCAGGTAATATTAACGGACAGTGTGATACGCGTGATTGACTCTTTGCCGAGCAATTGTTCGCAGCAGCGGGTTCCATGAAACTCTTATTATGTAACTGAAGCGACTTGAAATACTTGCCGAGATGCCCAGAGACAACTCGTCGATCAATCAGTTCAAATCATCTTAGCTCAATACATTTGCTTTGGCTGCCCTTTCTTATGCTCTTGGTGTTTACAATTCCTTTATTCATCAGTTGCATCATATAATAGATTTTGTATATAGTTTTGTTAGAGACATAAACAAACAATACTTTATCTGGATATCTATTAACATTATACTTGATCTGAACACCAATACTGGCCAATCCATACTTGATCTGTGCAAAAACAAGAGGAGCTGATTAAGAAAGTATAGAAAAAGGAAAAGCATGAACTAGAGTAATGTTCATTTCTGCTAATATAGATCAACTTCAATCTTGATTTAATTTAATCTTTATTTCCTAATTCTTAGAACTAGATAAAATTATTGAATAAGTTAAACTGAAATTAAAGTTAATGTATATTGATAGAAATGAACATTTGGCCCCTGTTTTCAACGAATAGTAACAATATTATTAGCTGTTTGTTATTTGAAGCTATATAACGACACCAAATTTAGAGTTTACCAATAAGTTTAATCTTTTATTCCTAGATCTGTATGTAGCATTTTTAAATATTAAGTTTATCCTAAAACATGTCAATTTATTTTTGTTGATATATGTGTTTAAGATTTTTATAATTGAATTTAAATTATCATTTTATTTAATGAAGTACTATAAAATCACATTAGAATATATTTTTTGCAAAATATATCCAAGTACAGTTGACATTTGTTCATGAAATTATTTCATAAAAACTGGACATTAAAATGTATACAAAAAGATCATTTGATGAATGCAGGTAAAATGCAATCGTGGATACTGTCAAGATGTTACTAAACAGAAACCAAAATCGATTAAGGATATCGAAGAGCGCGTATTGAAGGCTGTAGCCGTTTATAACGACGCCCTTGTAGAAAAGGTTACATAAAATACATCTTTCTTCTTTCTGGGAAAAATTTTGCAGGGCTTAAGGGACACACGCATCAAGCAGGTGCGCCATTACAGTCATAAGGATCCGCTAACCCTTGATATTATCAGTCAACGGGTGCTCTTGGTTCTGAAACTTTATGATAAAATTGAACCCACAAAGGTATCTTAGAAATCAATATTCTTGAAATATTTGCCATGACATTTCTGTAGACAATTCTGTATTTCTTAACGAAAAAATGTAAAAATACATACAAAAATTCATCATTAGTATGTCACAATTGTGTTTGAAAAATACGTAGAAATGAAAATCATGTATATATCTTTTTAAACACATAGCTTTTCCATATTAATTAGAAGAGAATTTGATAGTTTCTTGTACATGATATAATTACATTAATTTTCTGTTGCTAGTTTCTTTGCTGAAATGTCTTGAGAAATATTTCTTAAAACAAAGAATAGTTGGTTAACACCTCGCTTGATCGTGGCGTCTACGTACATACTGACATGTAGAAACAAATCTCTTTATTAACTCTTATTTACCTTATTTATATAATAATTTGCATTATTATATACTGTTAAAAATATATACGAAGAAGAATATTTACTATTTATATAATATCTAATTAAAAAATTTAAATGTGTAAAATACTCTCCCTAATATATTTCATTCAATTAATTTTATCAGAGGGACATGTCAGTTGTGCAGGAAGCCTAGGCGCGCGATTGAATCTTAATCTAACGATACATTGAATCTTCAGCTGACCTTGGATTCGCATTTTATGGAAGACCTGGGTCTGGATTCCCTGGATCACGTGGAGATCATAATGGCGATGGAGGACGAGTTTGGCTTCGAGATTCCAGACATGGACGCTGAGAGGTTACTGAAACCTAAGGATATAGTGCGTTACGTAGCGGACAAGGAGGATATATATGAATAACACGCCTTGTATTACTTACGTCTACGCGTTTAGTCAACATCCGCCGTTGTTTCGATTGGAAATAACGGATCACAGCGTTTTATCCTACCGCCATTGTTTTTTTCTGTATATAGACCTTATCACTATATGAATAAAAAATAAGCGAATTGTTACATCGAATTTCTCTTATGTGCGTATGCATCCTAAAAAATTGTAAGAAGCGTATAGAGAGCCATTTATAAATTCCACAGTTTAGTACTGTATCGAAATATGCTCTTTTATTTTGTAATAATATTATACATTTCATATTCGTAAAATTCGTTTTATTAAAACTATTAACTACAATTATGACAATAATCAAATTCGTTAAGAATGCAATTCAATGTTGTATTCCCGATTTTTTTTATATAAAAAATTGAATTGTTGATTCAATCGAACAGTTCGAATCAATTATTTTGAATTTGATTCTGATCATTTTACAAGTATAATAGAATAGAATATTTGTATTTGAATGAATTTGAAATTTGAATATGCCTATTATGCCTATATGAATCTTATCCGTGTGACTGTGCGCATGTAAATTTATTTTTTTTTTTTTGTGATTTTCTCGGAAAATTTTCTCTTCAATTTATGGAACTTATTAACGTATTTGCCAGGCATAAATTCATCGTCGATACCGATTATGCAATTCGTTTTGCAACTGCGAGTGTTTGTCGCGTTGATTTTTCATATTCTGTTTTTAGTATTTTATTTGCGTACGATTTCTTTCCGACATGTTGATTAGCTGCAGGATAGAGGATTTTGGAACATGAAAGTGCAGGCACTGCAGGCTTGGCAGACTTGCGCATGTGCTGTAGTATGCGAGAGATTCCAGTAGAGTATTTGTGTCAGTGAGTTGGGCCCAGCTGTTGCTAGCAATGCCAGCTGTGTGCGCGGAGTAATTTATCAAATTACGTCTCTCAAGTCTACCTTTTGGGAAAACCGCATTTCTTTCCAGTTCTGTAATTCGGCGGAACGATAACGCTCAGTTTTACAATGACGTCGAAATTGAGAAACAGAGATTGCGCGAATAAAATTAGACATGGCTCGCCTAAGTTGCAGGAGGTGCTGCGAGAGGTTGGGAAGCTTATGTTTACCTCGTATTATTTTTAAGCTTTCTGGATGATAGTAATATAAGCGACTCTGCATTCTTTTATAAATATTCTCGCACAAATATGCGCACACAATTTTTTTTGTGTCTGTTTTTTTGTTCAATTAAAATTCGAGTTTAAAGTTTAGTCTAATATCTTCAATTTGAGTGTTATCTGTATCTTTTGTTGGAAAACGTCTATTATCATATTTTGAATGTTTTCCATTTAGTGACACAAGTCATTGATACAAGTGTCTACCCATCTTTATTCATTAAATGCCAAAAGGGACAGAATAACGTTTGTGTCAATCTGTGTCACATAAATACAGGGCCCATTTATACATAAGGTGCTGTCTTTTTTTGTTTTCAAAAATATTGCCTGTTTTTAGAAATGCCGCCAGAGAATGCGAGAGAAGCGAGATCAATTATTTAACAAACGTAGATTTGGCTTGGAACTTAACTCGAGACACATACAGGATACATTGACAGAAATAATACGCTATGAATTCAAGAATTTAGCAACATTAGATGACAATGACAAAAGTATTACATTTAAAGAGATTGAGGAGCCACTATCTCAGGAAGAGGCAGTTGAATTAGAAAACGAAATTGTTTGCGAACAAGGTATAATCAGCATTAAAATTTCAGTTATATTATTAGAAACTTGTAATTCATAATAATTATTATTAATTTGTTGTTTATGATATAATACGAATTTGATGGAAAATTATATTGTTGCAGAACAATGGATAATTCAAGAATATGAGAAGATTTTGCAAGACGAGATCGAACATTTCGCAATGTACGCTGATAATGAAAATAGAGAGGTATTCTGTCCCATATGTCAGAAAGCTATACTAGGAGAGGAGAATAATTGCGTGAATTGCCCAGTCTGTGAACTGAAATTGACAGGTCGTACCATGCAAGAAGTGAGGCATTTAATTAACGAGAGTATAAATATCCATGCATTCAATTGCATCAAGGTACCACTATTCACGATAATACCTGATAACAGTAATCTCAATTTGTATCTGATATGTCATGACTGTTCCACTTTGGCATTGATTTGCTGATTATTCAGCTGGTGAACTTTCAATTTTCTAAAATAAAAACGTGCTGAATAATTAACATATTTTTGCGTAGATATTAAATGTTATCAATATCAATGAGTGTCCAAAGATTATAAAATAACAATTGTAAACAATGTGTATTATTAATTTACATGCAAAACAAAGTTTTAATGCTAATTAAAATTTTTGTGACATTAGGTTTTTTTAAGAAAATATTTATAAATTTAGTTTGTTTCAATTTATAAAGTATAATAAAAATTAAATGTCAAATTACATTAAATAATAATATTCATTATGAGGACTTCCCAATAGGTTTGTTACTTTCAATAAAAATTATTTCGGGAAAGCATTTTCCGGATATTACAAAAATTGTATTATATATTTGTATTCAATTTTATATGTGACTAAATTTAATATGAGTAATATCATTCAATATAATTATTTATAATAGTTAGAAGTAATGCGAGAAGGAAAAAAAAGAAAAAATGAATTAGTTTGGATTTCATGTTGTTATAACATATCTGAATAATAACATGTCAATCTTTTTTTTTATGATTATATGATACATATTGTACAAAAAAACATCCCTTCGGTGAGTTCACTTATATTATTTATCACTTAATGCATTGTACATACATGTTGATGTAAGTTGAACGAGGGCATCTATATATTGTATAAAAAAATAACATTCTTCATGCTCTAAAACAAAACAACAAATTAACAGAGTATACATTATGTGAAAAGTCAATTTAAAAAAGAATTTATTTTCATAGAATTAATTATTTTGTTTTTTCTTAACATCGGGCTATATACAACATTTTACATTAACAAAAATACTACAATATGCAGAAGCCCTTTGTAGTTTAAGCTATATTCGGTATTTAAACCTTTTGCAAATGATTTGTACATTATCACATAAATTTCCATATTAAAGATCTCAATTTATATAATGGTGTAAACATATATCTTATGAGCAACCCCCTTTTTATCGTCTCCACGCAATTATAAACTAAATAAAGTATATACACCTCTTACTGGTGTACTTGTGCAAGTATAAATTAATAGCAGTATATTTATATCAAAGAATTGATACTTCACATAAAGAAAATTATTTGTATCTTCAAGTCACATTTTCCCAAAACTTATCTTTTCAACAAACACAATTGTTATGGACTCTCAAAATTAAAAAAAGAATAATCAGTGTTAGCTTGTAATGGTATTAACTTTTTACTTGATGTAAAAACAGAATTAACAAAAGTTAGGCAAACGAGTGTTCCACAACTCTGTTACAGTTTCAGGTTTTGGCTTGCACTTCGAACTTTTGTAGCAATTTTTTTTTTATTAGCAAAAAGATACAAAGTGTGCGCCTTGACTGAAATCTTACAGTGTTAGACACTTATTTATCTTGATCATCAAACACAGTAAATAGAAGAGGATTAATGCGATACAAAAGTACTAATATGCGAGTGTTTTGGGTGTCTACAAAAGATAGAAGTGAAATAAAAGAATGTAATAAGCTAACTGCATATTTTAATACAAATCCTTAAGATCTACTCATTTTAGCAATTTTATAATTTCTTAACGTTTTATTCTAATTCAATTCGTTATGATTGATTCCTGATTTAGCTTTGTAAATTTGATATATCTCATATTTTTGGCTTCAGGCTTTTATATCTTTTTTAACTGGCATAGAACTTTGATAAGTTTGAATTAATGCAGATGAGCGAGAACTCAATCTGTAATCGAGAGTGTGGAGGATTTAATTCTGAGATTATATCGCTGAAATTGGCGAAATATAATGCGACCGAAACGAAGTTAACACCAAATTAAATATAATTTACATATAAAGAACTAAATGCTTTGAATTTTTTACTAAGTACCACGCCGTACTCTCGTTTGTCTAACTTCTTTTTTTTCAACTCTTGAATTATCTTTGCAGTTCATCAGAACATTTATGGCACTGAGTCTATCATTTTTAATGCGTTACTTATCTTTCGTAGTATTTCCGCAAAGAAAAATGTCCTAAAGCTAAAAAAGTTTATTTACAGTATATGATCTATTTTAATAGCTATGTGATAAATTTCTAATCATACAATGAAGTGATAATATAAATAAAACATTTTTCGAAAAAGATTAATAAAAATATTAATCTTTAATGTAGAAGTTCAATCATTTTTTGGTCAAGTTTTTAGATTCTTATAGTCTTATAATAATTATGTTTATATAATATATTAAGCTATCAATCTGAAGAATATCTCTCAAAGCAATGGAATGAATTTAATTATATGAACGTTTATTATGCGTAATTATGAAAAAGTTGTATGAATATGTAATTTACTCTTTTTTTACTTTATAAATTATTCCATCATTAGAATGTTCGAGTCTATGTAATTTCATATAATGTATACAACTGCGCGAAATAAACGTGAGAAAAAGTACACATGAGACAATTTTGTCAAAAAGCAATTATGTTAATGCGAATGATTGTGCCATGTCAATATTAGTATCAAGTACTGCATCAACATACATACTGTCAGCATACGTACTGCAGTATAAGTATGTACACATATTTTTTATTCAAATCTGTAATATAAAACGTTTTTTATAATTATCTATTATAGATATTATAGACTTTGCAACAATAACGTGACGTTGCAATAAAAAGAGGAATTGCACTTAAATTCTTATTTCTGCATTTCGGTTAACTAACCGAACGTTATGTCTTCTTTTTGTTTCACATAGACTAACTTAAGTTATACGGTAACTATCATTCTTACATTCATATATATATATATATATATCTAAACCTTAAACTTTATTTATACAAACACGCTGTTGAATTCACGCACTTGATCACTGCATGGATCGTCGGCGTTCCGTTCGATTGACTGCCGCAAGCGCTTCTTCGGGAAGGCGGGTCGGATCTGATAAAATATCAGTGGCAGTACACAGAGTCTTGAGAGAATTCAGAACAGCTGAAAATAATATTTTGATCAAAATAATTATGAATATTATAGAA